CAAACAGTGTAAGGATAAGGCTGAAACTAGTATCATGATTGTTTTTAACCTACCAGGTTATTTTATTAAACTGTAAAAAAAAAAAAAAAAACATCCTCCAACTGTGTGAAAATCTTTGGCAATGTACCTTGTATTGCTAGAAAGTTCTGTTTTTGTATTGCATAACAAAGCAAATGTTTGACAGTTGGGCCTTTTTCCTCTTCACACTCAAAATTTGTTTCAGCTGTGTTTTGTCTTTGTCTAACCTTATTTTTTAAATTACTTTGAATTCCAACAGGTTTGTTATTGGTACTTTAGGTCTGCGGTCACTTTAGACAAGTCATTATGCATTTGAAATCATTTCTGTGTTCAATCACTGGATTTATAAGTTTTTGTACATTCGCAATGCTGAGCCATATCTGAAACATCCCTCATTGGCAAGTAAAGCAATTTTATGAAAATGAAAAGGGTACAAATGATTTTCCACTAAGATGTATTTGCAAAATATATCTGGCTTCCTGCAATATTGTTCTTTCTTTGTACTCCTTGCCATAACTTGTAGGTTCTTTGTGCTGGATTATACTGCATTTCAGTGATGAACCCTTAATGTCAACATGTAAATAACTTTTTGTTATTTTTGGACTATTGCAGTTGTCCCATTATAACATTCAATCATGCAAAACACAACATTAGAAAGATGTTTAATGATTTCAAGGTAAAAAGGAAGATGATCCATTGACTTACTGCACTTTGCACTGGTAGTACTTACAGTAACTTTCTGCTGTGGGACTCAAGATTTAAGTGATTAACTGTTGGTATTTCATGTTGCATTAAATGTGTTTGTAATTTTAGTAATTGCATGCTTGACATTTGGTTTTGCCCAGGGTTTAGGTCCACCTAGAAAAAAGACTAACAGCACTACACCTTAACTTTAACACTGCATCCTACATTTGCAATAGAATGTTTGCATGACTCAGCCAAGCACAAGAAGAAATCAGCTTGAGGCACATTTCATCTCGAGGTACAAGTAAGGGAGATATGAAACAGTAAATTCAGGGAACAAAACTCATGACACAGGGATGGACCAGTTGGTCCCTTGGTGCAATCTGTGAATCCTACCCATATAATGTAGGTGTTTGTCAGAACAAATTCCCTTGTAATCATTGCAGTTCCTGCAAATCTAATGAGCAAAAAGAGGGGTTACTGATGACCAGCGTCCATCCACCATCTGTACCTGCTTCGCTTGGAAGTCTACAAGGGCTTCCTGTGGTTTCCACTCTTTCTCTCTGTCAGAGTTATTTACACACTATGCAATCCCAAAGACAGTGCAATTTAATTTCAAAGCTTGCACAGTCTGGTGAAATATACATGCTTATACATTTTGTAATAACAAAGAACAGAGGACTGATGAAATTTAACCAGTAGAGTACTTAAGACTGTATTTCTCTTGAGTTGTTCTATCAGTTTTTGTGTATGCACTCTTATGTTGTATATAATTTGCTTAATTCTAAACTGTTCCCTGGGGGTGTGATCCACTGATGAATCTTTAATGTTATGGAGGCATATTCGATAATATAGTTAAGAAATCAAGGTGGTACACCCCTTCCCATTTTTCTCATTTTCTATTTTGGTTTGTTGTACTTTGTTTTATACTTTATGTAAAGGTAATATTGAATTAAAAAATGCATTTAATCATTTAAGGTGTCTGGATATTTATGAATTTAGTAATACTGTAACAGACATTTAAATTGTTCATAATACCTTAGCCTCTTAATATTATTAGACAAACTACATCCTTACAATGAAGGCATGCTTGTGGGTTTGCCATAATGGACAGGGAAAAATTGTCACAAAATAGGCAAATTTGATAAATGTAAAAAAAAAAAAAAAATATCAATAAATAACTTAGTCAACAATCTGCAAAGAGACTGCATTCTGTGCAATGAACCATAGGAAGCCATAGGAGCTTTACGCTGGGGCTGCCTTGTTCTGCTAGTTTTATGCACAAAGGACTGAAAACTCTGTTATCCAAGTAGTGGTGAAATCTCTTACTTGAGCTAAAAAAAATCAATTTGAAAAGTGAAAGTGCAGAAATATTATCAACAAAATGTAATAAAAGTACACACAGCATAGAATGGCCATTATACTGTAGAGGTACCATATTATATTACTGGATCATTGTTACTGATGCATTAATATATAGACGCCATCCTAATGATGTATTTGGACATAGAAAAGCTAGTGTGCTTTACTCTATGTACTATAAACTTTGACTCTCAGAGTAACTACATATGTCAAATAAATGTGGTGGAGTAAAAAGTACAATGTTTCCCGGTGAAAGGTGTTAAAACTAGAGTAACATAAATGCATACTCAGACAAAGTACTGCGAGTTACAGAAATGTAGTAATGTAACTTTTTCCACTCCGTCTCAGTGGTATCCAGCAGTTCCTCGAACTCTTCACCAATCACAAAGCCTGAAGATACTATTACGTAATGCGTCTTTGATGGGCTGGACCGCCCACTTCCTCTGGAAAAAAATTGGTCAGCTGTTTTGCTTTTTTTTTTTTAACTGACATTATTGTATTTTTAGCTGTTAGCAGCTGCTGCTAAGTCACTTTTCAAGGTATTTTATGTCAAAGTGTATATACAAATTG